CCCCAAAACCCCAAAACCCCAAAACCCCAAAACCCCAAAACCCCGATTTTGTCGTAGAAATTTGAAGTCTATGGTTGTCATTTTTGTAAATTTAGACAAATTTAAACCAAATTTTGCCATAATTTATTCGTATGAAGTTTCTCTACTTTTGTAGGTGACTGAGAATTTCTTTCTATTCCTAACCTTTGTCTGGGAATTCTTCAAAGTTTTCTTTAAATTAGCCATATTCCTCTTTCCAAACTGATAGCTATTCGATGGTTTTAAGTTCCTGGGTATCTTAAAGCGAGGATTACTAATATTAGAGGCTGCGTTGAATATACTTTCACTGATGACTTCATTGACCTCCTCATTATCAGCCTCAAGGTTCTGAAGTGAGCTGCTATTAGGGATCTGCACCTTTTCAAGCGTCAGTCTAGTCGGAGCAGTTTGGATATTTTGTAAAATCACTTTATTTATTCTGATATGGGACTTACTAAAAGTTATAAAACTTCTTACTTTTCTCTAGTCTTTCTGAGAGCAGACCTGGGCTTGTACTTCTTCGAAGCAGAAGAGTACTCATTGATAAATGAGCTGCTCTTCTTATGCCTGTGACTACTCTTGATTCTGTACTCAAGAGAGCCTAGATTGTCAGCAAGTGTCTTACCAAGAGCTGGAGTCTTTATCCTATTTCCTTCAGTTTGAGTATTAAAAATCTCTTTATTCGCAAAGTAATCAGTATCTAAAGTAATATTATTTAAAATCTGTACCGATATCATCAGTCTGCATCTGAGAGTCAAGAGTTTTGAGCAGATTCGCACTCCCTTGAAGAGGTATGGAAAAATCTAGAGATTCTTTGGATTTGCTTACCTTTAACTCCTTGGAACATCCTCTCAGGCTTTTCTTTGGTCAACTTCCAAGGTAATATTTCCTCCATCTTGTCGGATAGGCTATCCAAGGTCTGCTTCAGGACTGAATGGAGACTGCTCCTCTCAAATTCCTCAGATTTATAGACAATTCTGTTAGAATTATATGCGCTTCAAGCCATTTTGAAAGCAGATAGGACTATATTTAGCCTATTTAAGCTTACTAGAGATCTGCTTGAAGCAATCCTTGTCTGTATCGCTGATATTCATGGAGCTTCTGTCATGGTTCAGCTTGATAAATCGGCTGTCATATCCCCTTGTCTCTTCATCCACAGTAAGAGAGTGCATCTTAGATCCTAAAGATTAAAGGAAACTTACCAAGTTTGTGCTCTTTAGAGGTTAGCATAAGAACTCTTTTGATGTTTTTCTCCTCATGTTGTAAGAAAGCAAGGTCAAGTGACATTATATCAACCATCTTTAAGGTAAACTCTGAGATGTTATCCACTGATTCTTTGACTACTCTAAGGGTATCATTCATTTTGTCTTGCTGAGTGGCGACTTTATCAATACCCATCTGAAGATCTATGGGGTTATGCTATTTAAATTTACCTGAAATATTTCTAACTCTTTTCTTAACTTCAAAAGCAATCTCTTCCATGAGCAAATCGCATCGATCTGAAACTAGATGCTCAACTGACCTTTTCTCTGTCTTTATAAGCTCCTTGATCTGGTCATGCTCTGCTTGAACTTTAGTTGAGAGCTCCTGAAGGGAGCCCTCAAAAGTTTTAGCACACTCTGCGACCTTTTCATTAGTCTATATAGTCAGAAGGGTACAGTACGAATGACTGAGTTTTCTCGGTCATTTCTTCGATCAATTCATCAAATTGTTCTTGAGTCTGCTCCTGATTTTGCTGAGATTCTTCCTGAATAAGGTCAACCAGCTCATCCTTAGTGTCAAGGATGAGAGTCTCTAACTTCTGCTCTATCTCATCAAGGTTGAGAATAGGCAATAGCTTGGCTACTACTTCTTCGAAGTTATAGCCATAATTCTGCTTGTTTTTATTTGAGGCTTCATTTTGGCCAGAGGACTACTAGAGTTAGTTTTGGAAGTTACCTCGCTTTCTTCGGAGCCAATATTCGAAGCTAGGTTTTCAACATTGACTTTGAGCATGGAATCTTGCTTAACCCTTGGAGCATCCATAATATTATCTAATTTAGCCTCCTCTGATGCCTTCCTGGATCTTCTCTTCGAGTTGGCGGAATGCTATGGCTGAACAGTGGATACAATACCTTCCTTGATCTACTACTTTTCTTAGATTTTTGAGATGATGTGCTACTCTTCCGAGACCTAAGAAGATAAGATAGATTTTACCGAGAGCTCTTAAGAACATAAGGCTTGCGTGGATTAAGAAGATTCTTATGAGAGTTCAATACTTCCCTCTTCTGGATATCTTTGGCCTCATCAGCTTGCTTTTCCTCGGCTGGGTCTGAGACTTAGTAAAACAGCCTACCTTCAGCTAATTTCTGAATTTGTTTGGAGATGTTTTGAACTTTTGGAACTTTAGAATCCCTCCGTACTTTAGATAGAACTTGGCCTTTAGTATCCCCAGAGTCTGGCCTGATAGATAGTTTGCTAGCTCTTCTCATAGCTGACTCTCTTCTAGAGGCTGAACTTCTTCTGGAAGCTGAGCTTTTTCTTTGAAGATTGTTGATCCCCAAATGAGCTAAATATAAGATATCTTAAGTACAAGTATCAGAGGGTTGGTCCGAATCTTCCTCAATTATTTGCTAAAAGTGAGTCAAGATGTGAGTACCTTATCTTCTGACCGCCACTGGTCAGTTTCAGGATCGAAATCATCAGTGTCCTTGAACCCCATAGACCACCCATCAGTATGAGTGATCTTCTCAGAAAGTTTCTTTAACTTCTGCTTCATGTACTGTTCTAGTTTGTATAAGTCAGCTTTCTTTGACAAGCAGTGATGAAGGACTTCTCCTGAAAGTGTAGTGAATACGAAGGGGAGCTTAACATCAATGTAATTATCTGTCTTTCTAAGAATCATGCAGGATCTTACCGTAGCTCAACCTCTATCTCATCCACTCTGTTTTGGAGCATGAGGTAATCCTTCTTGGTGTAGTTGGAAAATTGGGTGAATTCTTCCATCTCAGCTTTGCATGATACCAAGTGCTCTAGATCTATAGGTTTTATAATGAAAATTTACCTTCAGTAAAATTATCAAACTTTTCATTGAACAAAGCAATGGCATCTTGAAGTTCATTTAAAGTACTATGGTTGTTGTCGATGCTGTGGTCTCTCTTCTTGTTATCTATTTTGATCTTGCCCAGTGCCAGTTCGATATCACTGATCTAGAAGATCACAGAAGGAGCTTACTGCTTCCTGATTGCTGTTTGCAGTTTTGGTACTCTATAAATTTCAGTGGCAGCAATACCTGTATCAGATCCTCTACATGATTAACACAAAAATCTTACTATTCAATGTTGCAACAAACATATTGAGGTCTATCACTTTGGAGTTGACGTCCCCAATGGCAAATTGTTGGGCTTCAAGGTCTGACTTGGTAGCAAAGAATCTTTATTAATAACCATAGAAACTTACTTCTCCTTCATGTTATCAATCTGGGTCTGAATTTTACTGTAAAAATTAAGCATTTCCCTCAATTGGGAATTTTGAAAGGACTTACTTGTCAGCATCCTTGAATTCTTGCTCTACATGGTTCATTACAAGTCAGTCTGAAGCTCAGTAAGGTTCTCCCTTAAGAGATGGAGCTCGTGAAGTTTCTTGTTAGTCCTATTACTCCCATTCTGGAGGTCATCAAGCCTAAGCATGAACGTATCAACTTACTTCTGGTTCATGTAATCAATATGGTTGTTAAGTATTGAGTAGTCATCCCTATCCTGCCGGACCATATCGGAGAGGGGCTTCATGTGCTCGGCTATTACCTCCTTGACCATTGTCTTGATGTTGAACCAATCTATTGGTCTTTCACTGCTATCAGCCATATTTAAAAATAATTTTCAAATTTAGCTTCAAAGTTGGGGTTTTGGGGTTTTGGGGTTTTGGGG